ATTAAAGTGATTATTACGTTTTGAATATGGATATTTTTCTTACAAAAACGCATCGATTTGCTACAGGAGGCCTTTGTTCACCCCCCGGAGCCGTGTGAGACACTTTTTTTTATGGATGGGTGCTTTTTATTTAACTTGTTTTGGACTGATGCATGCAACATCCGCTGAGTGCCATGAAACAGCTTGAAAGATCAAAGACAATTTTTCATATAACTCCGACTGGATTCGTCTGAAAGAAGAAAGTAATATACACCTAGGATGACTTGAGGGTAAGTAATTTATGGGCTAATTTTCATTTTTGGGTGAACTAACCCTTTAATTGTAAAAATGTTAGTTATTTTAATGCAGGACATGTAAAGTGCTACAGTAAAAACCTATTAATTGATCTGCTGCAATGGTAAAGCAATATTCTATTTTAGAACATTTTTATTTTATTAAATGACATAATTGTCGTTTTACTGATTTATTTATAATAAACACAAAGTATGAATCACTGTTTAGTTTATGGGAAATTCCATGCATGATCATCATTCTTGTTTTTGTTATCAGTTATGTACAGTGGAGTGTTTTATGTTGCATTTTATGTAGGCCTAATGATTTCATTTTATATATTTATGACACTGTTTTGTTGTTTTAGGGCATTTTTTATTAACTTTAAATCATCTTCTGACGTTTGTAGTGGGAATATTAAAACCAGTACATTTTACAGAGTTTAATAGCTCAAATCGGTTGGTAAATAAACATTACATGATGTAATGACCTTTTAATTAAACAGATGCCATAAAGATGTCCATTTCAGTGCATTGCCATAACCTTATTATTTATGGTGAAGTTATAAAATTAATTAAAGTCTGAATACAATAGTCAAACCATTATATTCACATTTTGCATGTACCGGTATGTATTCTTGGCCGATTGTGTTATCATAAACTCCTCTTATCTCAGTCTAGTGACAAAGTTCCTGATCACACATGCTTAGGGTTGAGGTAATCATATCAGGTAAAGTCTAAACTGTAGAAAACATTTCATTATCTTTACAACAAACTGCTTCTGGGGTTCATTCACTCTACAACCTTTTAAAAAGTGCACTTTGTAATTAAAATGTAAAATCATTATGTTTTAATAATCTTTTGTCATGCTTACAAACGTAACACCTATTTTGATGTGTACTAAATACTAAATATACTAAATTGCAACTTAAATTGTAATTAAAAAGTTGGTGTTACAAGTATATATTTAAACACATGGCATAGAAGTTTCTATAGAAATGACATTAAAGTATATTTTAGTTGACCATAAATGCTTGTTAATAAATTCTGCAGTACTTTAACCATATTTCAAAGACAATAGAAGTAATTGTGAATTTACATAAAAAGATCAAGTCCTACTTCAGTGGATAAAATGCACTTTAAAGTTCATCTAATTGCATTTAATATAAATTTAAATCATAATACATTTTCATTTAATTGCAATTAACATGCAAATAAGTGCCCGAAAACATTACATTCAGTTAGCACTTTACCACAATTTAGTACTCTTTTTCAAAGTATGCTAAAGTGTACTTCTTTTTACACAATGGTTAGTAATGGGCCGAATGCAACAGATAGATTAGAAGTTTTATGACTTCAAAATTAAAAGTTCATGTGTATTTCTGTTTTAAACCCGCAAAACGAATGAAGTTTGATGGAAACGTCAAATTGCACATATAAAGTAGTTCTAATTCACCCCCTTTCTTCTATTCCAGGTCACCTTTTTTTTTGTCCCAGACTGGAATGAAAGAGGTATAACAGTAGGATGAGTCAGCAAGGTTATGTTGCCGCCCCTCCATACTCCCAGGCCCAGGCTGGAATGGGGGGATACTCTGCAGGTTTTGGGAACCCCCCACCTCAGTCGCATTATGGCATGTATGGATCTCCGCCACAGGGCTACTCTGCCCCTCCGACAGGTAAAGTGATCTTCTTTTGCTGAGTTCTGTTCTAAAACTGGCAAGTTTCATCTTGTCCCTATGATATAGGAGTCTCAGCACCACCTCAGCTTAAATAAATAAACAGGGTCAATCCTTTATGAAACGTCTCTGTTACCCTCGGTTTAACGGAGATGTTATGTCGTGACGACATGGGGGGGTTTACTTGAGAGCCCCAATCTGCTCTGACTAATGAATTTTGGCTAGTGGATTTTGCATACCTGAGCCACTCCCCGTGCATACGCATATAAATAGGCGACAGGTGCATCCACTCATCAGGTTTTACACTAAGGAGCCGAGAACGTGTCCCTGGCAACCAGTGATGGTTCAAGATTGTGGCAAGGGGACATAACATCTCCATTCCCTCCATCAGGGAACGAGGGTTACGTACGTAACCGAGACGTTCCCTATCTGTCGGTCACTACGAGTTATGTCGTGACGACATAGGGGGTCCATGGAAAGCGCCACAACCTGAACCCTGTAGTGCTGCAAATGTTGACAAGCAGTCGCGTGTCAGACAAATGCTACGCAAAGGTCGTAACCTTCCCAACACCCCAGCGCAAATTCGCTGACCTTGTGAGCGAAACGTGAGAGCAGGCCGGCCCGAACACAAGGCACTCTGCGCTCACCAAAAATGCTTGGAAGTCCCCGACCCTCTTGATGGAAGTGAGCATGGTCAGGAGCGCTGTCTTAGCATGACTGAATTAATGAATTAATGATGCATTTATATAGCGCTTTATTGTGTATTGCTGTACATCCAAAGCGCTTTACAATCATGTGTGGGGGGGTGATGCGACAGCACCTGGATGATGCGACAGCAGCCACAGTACAACGGCGCCAGTGTGATCATAGAGCCATGGAGTCATAGAGCCAGTCAAGTGGTTGGGGATTATTAGGAGGCCAAGATTGACAAGAGCCAGTGGCGGCAATTTGGCCAGGACACCGTGGTTACACCCCTACTCTTTACGAAAAGTGCCATGGGATTTTTTTTTTTAAAATTAACCACAGAGAATCAGGACCTCGGCTTAGCGTCTCATCCGAAGGACAGTGCTTTTTGACAGTATAGTGTCCCCATCACTATACTGGGGCGTTAGGACCCACACAGACCACAGGGTGAGCACCCCCTGCTGGCCTTACTAACACCTCTTCCAACAGCAACCTAGTTTTCCCAGGAGGTCTCCAGGTACTGACCAGGCTAAACCCTGCTTAGCTTCAGTGGGCAACCAGTCTTGGGTTGCAGGGTGATATGGCTGTGGCAACTGTTAGCAGATAGGAACTTAAGCTCAACTGAGTCCATTGGCTCAAAGGGATCCCTCTGACAGCCAGCCAGGACAGTAGAGAGATCCCATGGGGGGCACCAGGAGTGGCCTAGGAGGACTGAACCTTCTGGCACTCCTCAGGAACTTGACGATGAGATCGTGCTTTCCTGCAAGAAAGAAAGCAGTACTCCAATCGTGGATCTTTGGGGGTCTTCTCGGCAAGAAGAACACCAGTTCACGAACAGACTCCACTTCAGAGCATAGGCTTGCCTCGTCAAGGAAGCTCTAGCCTGAGTGAACGTGTTTACCACTGCCGGTGGCAGATCACTTATGTCTGCCGTGTCCCGTCCAGGAGCCACACGTGGAGGTCCCGGAGATCTGGACGCGGGTGCCATATGGTGCCGAGCCCCTGAGAAAGGGGGCTGTCGTGAGGACCATGAGTTCCGAAAACCAGGTCCGGGTGGGCCAGTACGGCGCAACCAGCAAAGACCTGTTCCTTGTCCTCTCTGACCTTGCACAGTGTCTGTGCGAGAAGGCTCACTGGGGGAAACGAATACTTGTGTAGAGCCTGAGGCCAGCTGTGTGCCAGCGCGTCCGTGCCGAGGGGGGCCTCGGTCAGGGAGTAATACAGATGGCAGTGGGAGGACTTGCGGGAAGCAAACAGGTCTACCTGGGCTACCTGAATCGATTCCAGATCAGCCGGACTGTCTCGGGATTGAGTCGCAATTCCCTGGGGAACATGAGCTGTCGTGAGAGCGTGTCAGCTGCATGATTGAGCTCCCCCAAAATGTGGACGGCACGCAGCGACTTGAGCCGCATCTGACTCCAGAGGAGGAGATGACGGGCGAGCTGTGACATGCGACGTGAACGTAGACCTCCCTGCCGGTTGATGTACGACACGGCCGCAGTGTTGTCTGTGCAGACCAACACGTGCTTGTCCTGTAGCAGTGGCCGGAACTGCCTTAAGGCAAGATGCAATGCCAACAGCTCTAGGCAGTTGATGTGCCAAAGCAGTCGAGGTCCCGTCCAGAGCCCCAAGGCTGCCTGCCCATTGCATGTAGCGCCCCAACCCATACTGGAGGCATCTGTCGTGACAACGACATGCCGGGACACTTGTTCTAAGGGCACCCCGGCCCGTAGAAAGGAAAGGTCTGTCCAAGAGCTGAATGAGCGGCGAGACGTCGGCGTGATGGTCACATGGAGTGTACCGTAACGCCATGCCCATCTGCCTGTGTCGAGGAAGAATCGAGACATGAAAGTAAGCATCCTTCAGGTCGACCGCTGCAAACCAATCCTGGGGCTGGATGCATCTGATGATGCGCTTCGGCATCAACATCTTGAACGAAAGCTTGTGAAGGGCCCGATTTAAGACCCGCAGATCCAGGATTGGCCGAAGGCCACCGCCTTTCTTGGGCACGATGAAGTAAGGGCTGTAAAACCCTGACTTCATCTCGGCTGGAGGGACAGGCTCGATTGCATCTTTTGCCAGGAGGACAGCAATCTCGTCGTGCAGGACAGGGGCATCTCGGGCTGCCACCGAAGTCTCGAGAATGCCGCTAAACCTGGCAGGTCGCCTGGCAAACTAAATCGCGTTACCGAGTCAAACTGTCCGATTGAGCCATCGGGACGGGTTGGACAGTGCAAGCCACGCCTCCAAGCTCCATACGAGTGGCACCAAAGGGACAATCGACGCACCCGCTGTGGTGCAGCGGTGGGAAGTCGTGCTGGACGGCACAGAAGGCATCGCATTCTGGCTCATCACAGCAGGACTCCCCGTGTCCCCGGAGGGACTGGCCAGAGATGCGTGGGGAGGCAACGGAGGGCCGGCTGGGACACGGAGGGCGCCGCAGTCCTCCGAGAGGCTCGACGCACCGGCCTCAACGGTGTCTCAGCACGGGGCAGAGGCGTTTTCGGGAACGCAGGGGGGACACTCGGCGATGAGCAGGCTGAGACGCGGCCCACGGCAGAGCGGTGGCAGCTGGAGGATCACACCGGGGCAAGATGGGCTGGATGGCCTCAGTCTGTCTCTGCACTGCCGAGAACCTGCAGGGCAAAGTCCTCGACAGTGTCGCCGAATAGGCCAACCTGCGAGATGGAAGCGTCAAGAAAGCGCACTTTGTCGACATCTCTCGTCTCAGCGAGGTTAAGCCAAAGATGGCGCTCTTGGGCCACAAGCGTGGACATCGCCTTCCCGAGGGACCGCGCCATGACTTTCGTCACCCGGAGGGCGAAGTCAGTCGCCGTGCGCAGTTCCTGCATCAACCCTGGGTCAGAACTACCCTCATGCATTTGTTTGAGTGCCTTGGCTTGGTGGACCTGCAGGATAGCCATGGCATGCAGGGCAGAGGCTACCTGGACTGCAGCACCATAAGATTTGGCCACGAGAGCGGCCGTCAGCTTACAGGCTTTGTACGGGAGACGTGGACGATTCCTCCAAGTGGCGGCGTTTTGCGGGCACAGGTGCACAGCAACCGCTCTCTCCACCTGGGGAATGTCTACGTACCCCCTAGCCGCCCGGCCATCGAGGGTAGTGAGGACGGAGGAGGGAGACGAGCGGCTTCTGGCTGAAAAAGGGGCCGTCCATGACTTCGTCAGCTCCTCATGCACCTCCGGGAAAAAAGGCACCGGCGCACGGTGCGGTTGTGAGCTGCGCCACATGCCAAGAAACCAATCATCCAGCCGCGAGAGGGTTGGACTGGGAGGCGTGCACACCTCCAGCCCAATACTCACGTCTGCCCGGGAATGCACGGCCATCACTTCTGGGTCCGATTCGGCGGCAGCGACAACACCCGAGGGGCGCAGCCCTGCAGAATCTTCATCCTCGGAGGACGATAGCCCAGCCCCCGATGCTGCGATCGACATCCGATCCTCCGGCGACGCACCGAATTAAATGCTGGGACAGTCACGAGCCGGGCCAGCGAAATCACTCTGGAGCCACACGGGACATTCGCTGCGGGAGGAGTGAGAGGTCCGCAGGGACGTGCCCGGCGGAGAAGCTCTCACTGTGACCCTCAGATCTCCCAGAGCTCTAGCCGGCGGTCCCCTGCTCATGACAGGAAAACCGGGACGGGTAGAGACAGAGGGTGCAGCTCCATTCCCCGTGAGAAGAGAGAGGCGAGATTGCAGCGAAGCCATCTCATACGCTCGCAATAAATGCATGAGTCATCCACGAACGCAGCTTCAGCGTGTTGGATGCCCAGACACTGAAGGCAACGCTCCTGGCCGTCGACAGAGGACAGGTAACGACCGCAACCAAGAGAACACGGACGGAACGGCATCTTTAAAAAGACGCGAACCATCAGTGATGAGAAACTGCTCTTTTAGTTGAAGCACCCAGGGGAATCGCTGAATCAACAGGGACACCGCTGTTTGTGCCGTCACGCCAACCAGGAACAGCTTCTTTCTTCCAGTCAGAAC